ACCAGTGGGATTGACCGTCACATTATAACGCCCCCACGACTGAAAGGGCGAGTATATTTGGTGGGATGGGGATTCGAACCCGCGACCCTCAGATTGCGAGTCGAGTGTCGTAACCACCTGGCCATGCCGGGCCGAATTCGAATCATATTACTGATACTTACACAAACAGATAACCACTAGTAAAATTATGACCAGTTCTTGTTTTAGATGACTTTTATTACACTATATTTAAAATTTGCACATAAAGAGAAAAATATGAATAATATCATAAAGTGATGCCCTCCTTGTAACTTACTGGTAAGTTTTAGAACTTGCAACGCTAAAATTCTGAGTTAGATCTTCGAGATAGTCCATTGTACAACTTTGAGCTTTAACATAACATAATGTTTAGAGACAACATCTTGGCTATCCCGTTCTCTAAACTAAACTAAAACTATTAAAAAATATCTTAAAGCCGTAAACACCTTAAACACCTCAATAAGATCCCCTCCAACTCTTCTTTTTTACAAGAGAAAACAATTTCAACGATCTTAATCTCTCCTCATATAACAACACCTCCATCCCAGGTACCAGTCTAGTAACCCTCCTTTGAACCCTTTCGAACAATTCAGTGTCCTTCCTAAGGTAAGGAAACCAAGACTGAACACAGTACTCCAAATGTGGCCTAAACAATGACTTATACAAAGAAGTTATAACTTCTTCAGACTTGTATTCACTATTTCTGTACATACAGTCTAGAATCATATTTGCTGTACCACTAGCAACAGCACATCGTTTGGATGGGTTTAGAGACTGATCAACCACAACACCAACATCCCTTTCTTTCATGACACTGTTAAGGTTATTCCTATCCACATTATACTTATAATTCAAATTATGATATCCCATATGCATTATCTTGCATTTATTAGAATTAAAACCCATCTGCCATTTATTTGCCCAACTCACTAAATAATCTAAATCATTTTGTAAAGCAGCAGCGCCCTCTTTACAGCTAGCAACAACCAAGACCTTAATATCATCAGCAAATTGAAGTAATCTATTGATCATTCCTTCATCTATGTCAATGATGTAAATCAAAAAAGAGAAAAGGTCCTAAGACTGAGCCCTGAGGAACCCCATATGTGACATTAATCCAGTTTAACTGAACTCAGTTTATAACAACCCCTTGTTCTCTTTTTCCATCCAGCCACTCTTCTATCCAATTAGCTAACTTATCCCCCACATCCATATAGATAACTTTTTTACAAGCCTTTTATGTGGCACCTTCTCAAATGCTTTCTGAAAATCTAGATACAACAAATGTATACCCTTACCTTCATCTACATAAG